AAAAAAAAAAAAAAAAAGAAAGAAGGTTCTACCCTGGATCAAATGCTACCAAACAGTATTGCATGCTACAGAGAAATCTTTCGGAAAAGCAAGAGTCAGTCAGCATTGCAGACTTCATCGTTGTCTTATTTTAAGAAATTGCCACAGCCACCTCAACCTTCACCAATTTCCACCCTGATTAGTCGGCTGTCATCAACATCAAGACCCTCCACCAGCAAAAGATGATTCACTGAAGGTTCAGATGATTGTTAATATTTTTTAAACCAATAAGGTATTTTAAAATTAAGGTATATATTTTTAAAGGCAAGGTGCTCCTGCACACTTAATAGACTACAGTATACTGTAAACATAACTTTCATATGCTCTGGAAAACCAAAGCAGTCACATGACTCACTCAATTTATTGTAACATTAACTTTATTGCAGTGGTCTGGAAATGAACCCACAATGTATCTGAGGTACGCCTGTACTTGAAAATGTATTTCACACACAAATAGCACACAATTCTAACAATTGTTGACTCTAAAAGGTTCGCATACAGGTGATCATTGTATTATTCTTTGAACATCTCAGCATATTTGAAAATTTCTTAGGAAGAAGGGGGAAATGTTAAAAATTTCCTGGATTTATACATAGAATAATATATCTTTAGCTGAACTTAAAAGCTATGACTTTAATACTTTTGAAGAATGTAAAGTTTTTAGCTGTTGAATGGAGTGTTAAAAAAAGCAGACAGATAATATGATACTATCCCTATTTCTAGAAGCAGAAAACAACGTTCAGAGAGATTAAATCCCAGGACTACTGACTGGGAGAATGAGAACTGGGACCCAGGTTTTCTAACTCAGATTCCAATACTGTCCCATAGCTCCATATGCTATTAAGACTTCCATATAAGGGGCTGGGCATGGTGGCTCACACCTGTAATACAGAACTTTGGGAGGCTTTGGCAGGAGGATCCCTTGAGCGGTCTAGCATGGCTGTTTCTGTTGGCACCATGGCTCTCCGCACAAAAACTCGCACAAATCTGGGTGGCCATTTCAACAGGCACCTGGAACACCTGGGATACAGAACCGCCCATTCAACTGAAAAAAGGGGGCTGAAACAGGGAGCCAGGTGATCTGGCTCAGTGGGTCCCACCCCCGACAAATACCAGCAATCTGAAACGCTCTGGATTGACAGTATCACAGCAAGCACAGCTGGACCCGGGACAGTCCAGCTCGGAGGGGGGAAGGGTGTCCGCCATTACCAAGGGAATCCACCACTACCAAGGCAGTCCGCCATTACCAAGGCAGTCCGCCATTACCGAGGCAGTCCCTCATTACCGAGGCAGTCCGCCATTACCGAGGCAGTCCACCTTTACCAAGGCAGTCCGCCTTTACCGAGGCAGTCCGCCATTACCGAGGCCGTCCGCTATTACCGAGGCCGTCCATCATTACCGAGGCTGTCTGTCATTACCGAGGCAGTTCTAACAGGAAATTCACACAGCAGCTGGGCAGAGCCCACAGCAGCTCAGTAACGCCTCTGCTGGCAGACTGTGACTAGGCTACCTCCCTGCTGGGAATGGCATCTCTAAAAAAAGGCAGCAGCACTTCAAGAACTTATAAATAAAGCCCCACCTTCCCAGGACAGAGCACCTGGGGAAAAAGGCGGTTATGACTTCCACTGCAGCAGGCTTAAATGTACCTGCCCAGACGCTCTAAACAGAACGACGGAGCTCCCACCTCAACACCTGAGCTCCTAAAAGGGACAGGGTGTCTCCTGAAGCAGCTCCCTGACCCCTGTATATCCAAAGAGACACTCATAAAGGAGAGCGCAGGCTGACATGTTGGAGGTACCCTTCTGGGATGAAGATAAGAGAAGAAGAAACTGGCAGGAACCCTTACTGTTTTGCAGCCCTGTGGGTGATCCCCAGACAAGCAGGGTCTGGAGTGGACCTCCAGCAGGCTCACAGCAGAGGGGCCTGATGGTTAGAAGAAAAACTAAAAAACAGAAAGAAATAACCTCACCGTCAACAAAAAGACCACTTAGAGATGCCATCCGAAAGTCACCAACTACAAAGACCACAGGTAGGTAAATCCATAAAGATGGGAAGAAACCAGAGCAAAAAGGATGAAAACACCAAAAACCAGAATGCCTCCCCTCCTCCAAGGGATCACAACTCCTCACCAGGAACGGAACAAAGCTGGGTGGAGAATGAGTCTGATGAATTGATAGAAGCAGGCTTCAGAAGGTGGGTAAAAGCGAACTTCTCTGAGCTAAAAGAACATGTTTTAACCCAACACAAAGAAACTAAGAACCTTGAAAAAAGGTTAGACAAAATGCTAATGAGAATAAACAGCTTAGAGAATAATATAAATGACCTGATGGAGCTGAAAAACACAACAAGAGCACAAGTTTCAATAGGCGAATCAACCAAGCAGAAAAAAGAATATCAGAGACTGAAGATAAACTCAATAAAATAAAACGAGAAGGCAAGATTAGAGAAAAAATAGTGAAAAGAAATGAACAAAGCCTCCAAGAAATATGGGATTATATGAAAAGACCTAATCTACGTTTGATAAGTGTACCTGAATGTGACAGAGAGAATGAATCCAAGCTGGAAAACACTCTTCAGGATATTATCCAGGAGAAATTCCCCAACCTAGCAAGGCAGGCCAACATTCAAGTCCAGGAAATACAGAGAACACCACAAAGATATTCCTCAGGAAGAGCAACCCCAAGGCACATAATCGTCAGATTCAACAGGGTTGAAATGAAGGAGAAAATGCTAAGGGCAGCCAGAGTGAAAGGTCAGGTTACCCACAAAGGGAAGCCCATCAGACTCAAAGCAGATCTCTCAGCAGAAACCCTACAAGCCAGAAGAGAGTGGGGGCCAATATTCAACATCCTTAAAGAAAAGAACTTTCAACCCAGAATCTTCTATCCAGCCAAACTAAGCTTCATAAATGAAGGAAAAATAAAATCCTTTGCGAACAAGCAAGTACTCAGAGATTTCATCACCACCAGTCCTGCTTTACAAGAGCTCCTGAAAGAGGCTCTACACATATAAAGTAACAACCAGTACCAGCCACTCCAAAAACATACCAAATGGTAAAGAGCATCAACACAATGAAACTGCATCAACTAATGGGCAAAACAACCAGTTAGCATCAAAATGAATGAAACAGATCAACAAAACAGAAAAGTAAGGATATCCAGGACTTGAACTCAGATCTGGACCAAGCAAACCTAATAGACATATACAGAACTCTTCACCCCAAATCCACAGAATATACATTCTTCTCAGCACCACATCGCACCTACTCTAAAATTGACCACATAATTGGAAGGAAATCACTCCTCAGCAATGCAAAAGAATGGAAATCATAACAACCAGTCTCTTAGACCACAGTGCAATCAAATTAGAACTCAGGATTAAGAAACCAACTCAAAACCACACAACTGCATGGAAACTGAACAACTGGCTCTTGAATGTTGACTGGATAAACAATGAAATGAAGGCAGAAATAAAGATGTTTTTCAAAACCAAAAAGAATGAATATACAACGTACCAGAATCACTGGGACACACTTAAAGCAGTGTCTACAGGAAAATTGATAGCAATAAATGCCCACATGAGAAGCAAGGAAAGATCTAAAATCGACACCCTATCATCAAAATTGAAAGAGCTAGATTAAAATTGAGGAGCAAGATTAAAAAAAACTCAAAACCTAGCAGAAGACAAGAAATAACTAAGATCAGAGCAGAACTGAAGGAGATAGAGACACAAAAACACCCTTCAAAAAATCAACAAATCCAGGAGCTGGTTTTTGAAACGATCAACAAAATAGGCCCCTAGCCAGATTAATAAAAAAGAAGAGAGAGAAGAATCAAATAGATGCAATAAAAAACAATAAAGGAGTTGTCACCACTGATTCCACAGAAATACAAACTACCATCAGAGATTACTACAAACAACTCTATGCACATAAACCAGTAAAACTGGAAGAAATGAATAAATTCCTGGACACTTACACCCTCCTAAGCCTAAACCAGGAAGAAGTTGAAACCCTGAATAGACCAATAACAAGAGCTGAAGTTGAGGCAGCAATTAATAGCCTACCAACCAAAAAAAGCCCAGGTCCAGATGGGTTCACAGCCAAATTCTACCAGACATACAAAGAGGAGCTGGTACCACTCCTTCTGAAACTATTCCAAACAATCCAAAAAGAAGGAATTCTTCCAAAATCATTTTATGAGACCAACATCATCCTGATACAAAAACCTGGCAGAGACTCAACAAGAAAAGAAAACTTCAGGCCAAGATCCATGATGAGCATAGATGTAAAAATCTTCAATAAAATACTGGCAAATCAAATCCAACAGCACATCAAAAAGCTTATCCATCACAATCAAGTAGGCTTCATTGTGGGGATGCAAGGCTGGTTCAACATACGCAAGTCTATAAACATAATCCACCACATAAACAGAACCAAAGACAAAAACCACATGATCATCTCAATAGCTGCAGAGAAGGCCTTTGACAAAATTCAACAGCACTTTATGCTAAAAACTCTCAATAAACTAGGTATAGATGGAACGTATCTCAAAATAATAAAAGCTATTTACAACAAACCCACAGCCAATATCATACTGAATGGGCAAAAACTGGAAGCATTCCAACTGAAATCTGGCACTAGACAAGGATGCCCTCTCTCACCACTTATTCAATACAGTATTGGAAGTTCTAGCCAAATCAATCAGGCAAGAAAAAGGAATAGAGGGTATTCAATTAGGAAAGGAGGAAGTCAAAGTGTCTCTATTTGCAGATGACATGATTCTATATTTAGAAGACCCCATTGTCTCATCCCAAAATCTCCTTAAACCGATAAGCAACTTCAGCAAAGTCTCAGGATACAAAATCAATGTGCAGAAATCACAAGCATTCCCAAACATGAATAACAGACTAAAAGAGAACCAAATCTAGAGCAAACTCCCATTCACAATTGCTACAAAGAGAATAAAATAACTAGGAACACAACTAACAAAGGATGTAAAGGACCTCTTCAAGGAGAACTATGAACCACTGCTCAAGAAAATAAGAGAGGACATAAACAGATGGAAAAACATTCCATGCTCACGGTTAGGAAGAATCAATATTGTGAAAATGGCCACACTGCCCAAAGTAATTTACAGATTCAACACTATCCCCATCAAGCTACCTATGACCCTCTTCACAGAACTGGAAAAAAACACCTTAAACTTCATATGGAACCAAAAGAGAGCCCGCATAGCCAAGACAATTCTAAGCAAAAGAACAAAGCTGGAGGCATCATGCTACCTGACTTCAAACTATGCTACAAGGCTACAGTAATCAAAACAGCTTGGTACTGGTACTAAAACAGAGATATAGACCAATGGAACAGAACAGAGGCCCTGGAGGCAATGCCACACATCTACAATCATCTGATCTTTGACAAACCTGACAAAAACAAGCAATGGGGAAAGGATTACCTGTTTAATAAATGGTGTTGGAATAACTGGCTAGCCATGTGCAGAAAACAGAAACTTGATCCCGTCCTGACAGCTTACACTAAAATTAACTCCAGATGGATTCAAGACTTAAACATAAGACCTAACACCATAAAAACCCTAGAAGAAAACATAAGCAAAACCATTCAGGACATAGGTGTAGGCAAGGACTTCATGACTAACACACCAAAAGCATTGGCAACAAAAGCCAAATAGACAAACGGGATCTAATTAAACTCCAAAGCTTCTGTACAGCAAAAGAAACAATCATTAGAGTGAACCGGCAACCTACAGAACGGGAAAAAATTTTTGCAATCTACCCATCTGACAAAGGGCTAATAAACAGAATCCACAAAGAACTAAAACAGATTTACAAGAAAAAAACAAACAAAACCATTCAAAAGTAGGTGAAGGACATGAACAGACAGCTTTCAAAAGAAGATATATATGAGGCCAACAGACATATGAAAAAATGCTCATTATCACAGGTCATTAGAGAAATGCACATCAAAACCACATTGAGATACCATCTCATGTCAGTTAGAATGGTGATCATTAAAAAAATCTGGAGACAACAGATGCTGGAGAGGATGTGGACAAATAGGAACAATTTTACACTGCTGGTGGGAGTGTAAATTAGTTCAACCATTGTGGAAAACAGTATGGCGATTCCTCAAGGACCTAGAAATAGAAATTCCATTTGACCCAGCAATCCTGTTATTGGGGATATATCCAAAGAATTATAAATCATTCTGTTATAAAGACACATGCACACGTATGTTCACTGCAGCACTGTTTACAATAGCAAAGACCTGGAACCAACCAAATACCCATCAATAATAGACTGGACAAGGAAAATGTGGTATATATATATCATGGAATACTAGACAGCCATAAAAAACGATGAGTTCATGTTCTTTGTAGGGACCTGGACGAATCTGCAAACCATCATTCTCAGCAAACTAACACAAGAACAGAAAATCACACACCGCATGTTCTCACTCATAGGTGGGTGTTGAACAATGAGAACACATGGACACAGGGAGGGGAGCATCACACACTGAGGTCTGTTGTGGGGGACTAGGGAGGGACAGTGGGGGTAGGGAGGTTGGGGAGGGATAACATGGGGAGAAACGCCAGATATAGGTGACAGGGGGATAGAGGCAGCAAACCACATTGCCATGTATGTACCTATGCAACAATTCTGCATGATCTGCACATGTACCCCAGAACCTAAAGTACAATAAAAAAAAAATATATATATATATATATATAAATAAAGTGTATACGTATACATTAAACTAAGATATCAAAATATCAGCCACCTTCTCTAGATGGTAGCATTACAAGCAATTTAATTATTTTCTTTTCTGTATTTTCTATATTTTTCACAATAAATATATAATAGTTTTATAGTCAAGGGGGAAAAGCAAATTAGAATATTAAAACTTCCAGCATAGAATTTGATATTAAGGTATTTCCTGGCCGGGCACGGTGGCTCATACCTGTAATCCCAGCACTTTGAGAGGCCAAGGTGGGTGGATCACCTGAGGTCAGGAGTTCAAACCAGCCTGCCCAATATGGCGAAACCCCGTCTCTACCAAAAATGCAAAAATTAGCCAGGTGCCTGTAGCACATACCTAAAATCCCAGCTATGCGACAGGCTGAGGCAGGAGAATCACTTGAACCCAGGAGATGGAGGTTGCAGTGAGTCAAGATCGTGCCACTGCACTCCGGCCTGGGATACAGAGCAAGACCCTAAAAAAAAAAAAAAAAAAAAAAAAAAAAAAAAAAAAGATAATTTCCTCATTTAAAAACTACTCTGCCAACTATGGATACCGAACAAAATAAAAGGCTATCTGCTCTAAAACCTAAAAGTTGTCCATCTCAATTACAGAACACTATGTCAACAATGTGCAACCACAGAAACATTTTCAACTATAATCAGGTCTAATCACTGCAAATGTCATACTGATGTAAAAGGGCATGTTTTTTCTTCCAACAACTTACTGGCATTTCATCCATTTCCCAAAACGAGAACAATGGAAAGAAATAGCTGAAAATTGTTAAGTTGCCTTACATCATTCGTAATGTGCACAGGACATGATGTCTTACTTGTGACCAAATCACACTTTGTGCAATGAAAACTTTCCAGTCATTGAGGTCCCCTTGTTCCCTCTTCTAGTATTTACTCTGTACCAATGATATCTACAATGTGGAAAGGTATCATGGCCGCATACATCACTCCTTACTGAGATCCACATCCATTTCGAGGCATGAACATATCTTAACAAACTTGAGCTTTGAAAATAGACACATATACAAAGAGACTCACAGCTGGTCAAAAAGTTCACAGTTCCACTTTCACATACCTCTCGGACATCAAAGGTCCTCTTAAGGTTAGTACCAACTATCCCATACAATTCATCAGCAGGAAATAAAGGCTCTTCAGAAGGTTCAATGGTGACCTGCAGACATACAGATCATGTTAACCCGATTAAAGACTTGATTTCAACGTGCAGTGAGCCAAAATGCATTTCGGGAAAATAAAAGATACAAGAACATATCGTACTCACATCCAATTTCTTCTGATAATTTAGATTCCTCACAACCTTCCTAGCTAAGTATAGGGCATGATGATCATCCAAAGCACAGTGGTCACCTACTCCGGACTTTCTAGAGAGGAAGCAAACTAAACTCGTCAGAACAGGGAAAAGGAAAATAATTAAATATCTTAAGTCCCAAGTATCTTCTCTCATCTAAGGATGACAGCACTTTTATTTCTAAAACACTTAAAACATTTGTCATCTTTAATAAATGTCCTTTTAAGAACCCTGGCAAAACTGTATTTTCCTTGTTTTACAAACAAGAAAAGCTGAAGTACACATAAGGACCTTGACCTAAGACCACAAATAGCTGAATAAGAATGGGGAGAGATGACAGATATAGGTGATGGGGAGATGGAGGCAGTAAACCACATTGCCACGTATGTACCTATGCAACAATCCTGCATGATCTACACATGCACCCCAGAACCTAAAGTACAATAAAAAAAAAAAAACATGCATTCTATTTTCCAACCTTACCCTTCCTCTGCTAGATCAAGGGGCCTTGCTGACGAAGGCGTCTATTAAGTACTTATTCCCTGTACCTTAAGCAGAGTTGCATGTGACGATGGCCAACCACAGACGGCACGCTTTCATGATGTGGTTGGTTACAGCATAAACTGTGTACATAACTGAGCTCCTAATGGAGATGCCAACTCTGGTTTCTCATTTCTGAGAGAACTCTGAGCCCCCTCCCTACAAAGTTACACTGACAGTAGCCACAGGCAACAAATGAAAAGGCTTGAATACACTGTCCCTTGGATTCTGGGTAAAAATCGGAACTGGTAAAATGGTTGTGTGGCAGGGGCCACAGACGTTCCTGTTCAATATCAAGGGCAGTGAATGAAGCATGGGCTTGCTCTGGTTATTAGTTCTGTCCCAATTCGATGGTCTGTTATTTCAGATGTAGACAAACTATGACTTTCTAATAAAGTATTTAAAAATCTGTAAAGTCAGGTAAAAAACATATCAAAAAAAAAACAAAGTGCTCATTTTATGAATAAGGACTAAGCTGCTGCAATCTAAATTTTTATGGCATGCATAGGAAAAAACACCAAATTCCCTGGGAGACATATCTTAGAGCTAGGCTCTCAGTGATTTCATGACACTCTGCTTCAGGACTGGGAGTTCCTGAATAAGAGCAGAGACCATGTTTATTCCTTTTCATAGCCCACAGATGCCTTGTAAATGATAGACCTTTTTCAATTTCTTTAATTTAATACATTTTACCATTTTATGACTGACCATATCGTTTCAATGCTTCACACATAATATCAGTTATAAATGCTGACTTCTAACTACATTGTCAGAAGTCAAACAGAAGCAGAAGGAACAGCTTCTAAATCAGTAAATATTTAAAATAAAATGCTTTCTTATGAAAACTGTCTAGTATTTAGCAAAACAGCAGGAAAGGAAAACCTTTAATGAGACACTGTATATGTAAGTCTTTGTGTCAAATTAGCTCTTAAGGATGACTTAAGAGAGGTACAGAGAGAGCACAGAGCAACCTGTAACTAAGAAATTTCATGGTACCTTCCAAAAACAAAAGTCATCACCCCAATCCTTTCCTCACAATTTTAAACAGGTTATTGTGAATACTATGGATAAGAGCAATAGAGTTATTACTGTTATATGTAGTAGATGCTGTACTGTGAGGCAGGCACTAGTCACAATTTGCACTTTATCCATGAGGAAATAAGATTCAGGGAGGGTAAGCAGTTTGCTAAGTCCCAAGGGAGGTAAACAGAAGATAAATTCCAGAATCTACACCCTTAACCTAATATATTGCCTACAGCTTTACTTTTTAAAAATACTCAAACTGCTTAAATATTTAGGCCAGACACAGCAGCTCACTCCTGTAATCCCAGCCCTTTGGAAGGGCAAGGCAGGAGGATTGCTTGAGGCAAGGAGTTTTAAACTAACCGGAGCAATACAGTGAGACTCCTGTTTCTACAGAACATTTTTAAAAATTGTAAAAAACTGAGAAAAAAAAAAAACCTCCTCCTTAATTGTTTCCCAATTGCTCAAAAAAAAAAAAAAAATAGAGTCTAAAAACTCTATTGAGCAACTATGATGATAAACAGGAAAATAATCATAATGGCAACAACATTTATAGCTAACTTATCTAAAGCAGGTATAGTTTCCAGCAACCCACATGTATTGTATCTCATTTACTCCTGATTCTAGGAGGTAGAGGGTCTTCTTACCCTGAACTCTTATCTAACATGGACAGACCAATGATGTGATGGAGCCAGCTTGCACCTGACTCACAGGAGCCAACTACATGCATCTGTGTCCGATTCCACAGAGGCACCATGTTGGCAGCTTAAAATCAGCCATGGTGGGATCACCTGTACCACAGAAATTGGGAAATGCCACAAATCGGGGTTTTTTTTCCTCCACAAAGAACCAGTTACCAAACATTTACCTGCACACCCCAGGGTAGACCTGCTCTCTCTCTTCTCCTTTGTAAGCCTTATCACATATCAGCTACATTTACGTAATTCTCTTGCAACTGCCCACCTCCCTCACTAGAATATAAGCTCCTTGAGGTCAAAGACAGTATCTACCTTCTTATCTCAGGCATCCAGAACAGAACAATGCCTGCTATGTAACAGGTGCTCAATGAACGTTTATTAAATAAATAAGAAATCTGTCTCTCCAGTCCTTCTTGGGTGATGCTCTAGCTTGGAAATGTAACTCTACAGTTCAAAGAATTGAACATTAAACCAGCAGATCAAGAACAAATAAACAGTGGTTTGGTCTGGCAAGTTTAGCACCAGAAACAAATATATAACACTTCCTTTAAACAAACAAACAAAATGACACTCAATCCTGTAAAGAAACAACCATTTCTGTTTCACCTGCAATGAAGGTCAGCACCTCCAAGATCCTCAGCGGATACTTCTTCCCCAGTTGCCGCTTTAACCTACAACAAGGATAAAAATCATCAGTGAAACCGGCCCATCAGAGATATAAAAAGGCTTCTCAACATGCACATCGCTTAACCTGACTATACCTACACTTTTTCCTCCATAGAACTAAAGAACACTGTGCTTTCTCATTCCATGCACCTAGGAAATCTAGAGACTATTATCTCTACTCTACAGGTGAAAAATCTGAACCCAGAGTCAGAAAGAATTTGCCTATAGTCCATAGCAAGCAATGGAGCCTAATTCAAGCCCACTCATTTCCAGTTTAAAAGATCCAAAAGGGCATCCTCTTTTCCTACATCATGCTGCCCTGACACACGTGGTCAAGACTTTGTGTCTGTGTGTGTGTTCCTCCCACTGACTGGGATCTCTTAACTCCCACTTACTCAAGTCCCACCTCAAGTCGCCTGTTCTAGCAGCTTTCCTGACCCACCCGGGCCTTCTCCACGATATTAATAGAGGACTGCCTGCCTATTCATGGTCCAAGGGCACTGCACTTACACCTCCAACATGATATGTGTCAGAATGTAGTTCAGTAATGTGTATGTATGTCTGTCATCTCCTCTATGCTGTGAACTCCTTGATGGCAGGAACTGTGATTTATTCATCTTTGAATACTCAAGAACATGCTGAAAAATTCCACTTACTATCACAAACTCAGCACAGCAAAGAGAGGTAGGAAAAAAATCTCCAAGATGTCCTATAACCTAAGATCTAGCAGTGGCCAAAAAGAAAGAAACCCCAGTAATAAATTAAGAATAACTTAATTATAGCCTGAGAAATTATACCAGGAACAAGAAAGAAAATTAATTTAAAGCTAAATGCCAGTCCAATCCCTTAGGAATTATTTATTGATTCCTACTTCTTTGAAGAAAAATAAACAAATTCATCAACCCAAATAAGAAAAGCTTTTATTAGAATAATGAACATTAATCTAAAATACAGCACAGAGAGATTAGAGGTAAAGAAAAAGTCTTTTCTGAGGGGAGCTCTAAAAAAAAAAAAAAAAGAAAAAAGAAAAGAAAGAAAATACAGCATAGAAACAACTTATTACTCACCACATCAAAAGCTTTGTCTTAAATAAAATATCCTTCTGCAGAGAGAGTTAGTTAAAATTTTCACCTCCAATTATTCCACCCCCAGAACTAAATTCTTGGTTCTCTTTCTTCCAAAACATTTAGTGTAAAATAACATTCAGTCCAGAAAATAACTAATTATAAGAGGTGTATGGATATTTAAAGTTGCAAGAAGGAATAAAAAACAGATAAAATTATATTTATTTTGAGGGATCTGACTAATATCCACCAAAAAAATAAGAATTTGTCATCGGTTAATATGTATTGAACACCCACAACTCTTTGATAGTGTGATAGGTGCAAAGATGATAGAAGTCAGAGAAAATTAAAACAGCTCATTCGACTAAATGACAAGTTCAAAAGATAAACAAAAGACAGGAGAACAAAAAGCTCCTTCAGAAACTTGTGTTACTATCCATTTTTTTCAACCACTTTACGCTACTAAAACCTACAGCAACTAAACCCCACGCTATGTGCAAACCCTCCAAGCCCTTTCTCAACTTTCAGTAAAACGCGTGTCAGAATTTAGAATTCTCTAACGGATGAGGCTGCTGCTGCTGCTGCATTTTTTCTCCTCCTGAACATGGTCTTTCAAAGGTGGATTGCTGGACGGGATCCAGTTCTCCAGGAGAACTTCAGGCTTCCCTGGCTGCCAAGCGTCTTCTTTGTAATGTACAAGTTAACTGAATGGGCATTGTAACTACTGACCTTGAGAAAAAATCTTCTCTCCAAAACCCTTCATGTTATTCCACCATTATGATCTGCCTATATTTCCAAAAAGATGCTTTCAATTTTAATCATATCTTTACTTATTTTCTAGTCAAAAAATAAATAAGAACGGCCCATGAAAGTTTGTGCCTTTTACTAGACAAAGGTAAATTCTTTTTTTTTTTTTTTTTTTTTTTTTTTGAGATGGAGTTTCGCTCTTGTTACCCAGGCTGGAGTGCAATGGCGCGATCTCGGCTCACCGCAACCTCCGCCTCCCGGGTTCAGGCAATTCTCCTGCCTCAGCCTCCTGAGTAGCTGGGATTACAGGCATGTGCCACCATGCCCAGCTAATTTTTTGTATTTTTAATAGAGACGGGGTTTCACCATATTGACCAGGATGGTCTCGATCTCTTGACCTCGTGATCCACCTGCCTCGGCCTCCCAAAGTGCTGGGATTACAGGCTTGAGCCACCGCGCCCGGCCGACAAAGGTAAATTCTGAGTGCACTTTCCTCTCATTAACAAATGACAGCTGGCCGGGCGCGGTGGCTCCTGTAATCCCAGCACTTTGGGAGGCCGAGGCGGGTGGATCACGAGGTCAAGAAATCAAGACCATCCTGGTCAACATGGTGAAACCCGTCTCTACTAAATATACAAAAAATTGCTGGGCGCGGTGGCTCAAGCCTGTAATCCCAGCACTTTGGGAGGCCGAGGCGGGTGGATCACGAGGTCAAGAGATCGAGACCATCCTGGTCAACATGGTGAAACCCCGTCTCTACTAAAAAAAAAATACAAAAAATTAGCTGGGCATGGTGGTGCGTGCCTGTAATCCCAGCTACTCAGGAGGCTGAGGCAGGAGAATTGCCTGAACCCAGGAAACGGAGGTTGCGGTGACCCGAGATCGCGCCATTGCATTCCAGCCTGGGTAACAAGAGCGAGACTCCGTCTCAAAAAAAAAAAATACAAAAAATTAGCTGGGCATGGTGGCACGTGCCTGTAATCCCAGCTACTCAGGAGGCTGAGGCAGGAGAATTGCCTGAACCCAGGAGGCGGAGGTTGCCGTGAGCCGAGATTACGCCATTGCACTCCAGCCTGGGTAACAAGAGCGAAACTCCGTCTTAAAAAAAAAAAAAAACAAATGACAGCTCTCACATACAAGAGATATGTTAAAACAATAATAGTAATAATGCTGCAGGCTGTTAAAATATTGCCTTGAGACTTTTACATTTGAAATGGTAGCCCTTCAGGCCTACCTGATCCTCAATAAAAGTTATTAAAAATTAACACTGTCTTGGAAAATATACTTATTTTACACCAAAGGATAAGCTCTATTTAACACATGTTTTCTAGTGAATGTGTATTAGTATTCCATAACCAAAGATGATTCTTGGACAAATTTTTGAAACAACAGACTTTTTCAGATAGAATTCACATACCATAAAATTCACTATTTTAAAGCACACAATTCTGTGGCTTTTAGTATATTCACAAAGTGTGCAACCATCACCACTACCCAATTCCAGAAAATTTCATCACTCCCAGAAGAAACCCCATCCTCATTAGCAGCACTCCCATTCCACCCTCCTCCCAGTCCCTGGCAACAACTAATCTACTTTGGCCTCTATGAATTTGTCTACTCTCAATATTTCATAGAAGTAGAATCATTTACTTGTCCTTTGCTGTTTCTTTCTTTCTTCTTTTTTGAGATGGAGTCTCGCTCTGTTGCCTAGGCTGGAGTGCAGTAGCGCAATCTCAGCTCCCTGCAATCTCCACCTCCCAGGCTGAAGCAATTCTCCTGCCTCACCCTCCAGAGTAGCTGATATTACAGGTGCGCACCACCATGCCCGACTGATTTTTGTATTTTTAGTAGAGATGGAGTTTCACCATGTTGGCCAGGCTGGTCTTGAACTCCTGAGCTCACGTGATCTGCCCGTCTCGGCCTCCCAAACTGCTGTTATTACAGGCGTGAGCCACTGCGTCCAGCCTCAGGCTCAAAAAAAATCAAAGGTCCTTCTTCCACTCTTCTTCCTCTCCTCTATATTTTAAGTAGTATTTATATAACTTTTCTAGAACTTCTTTATTCATATACAAGCATACAAATGTATATTTCCCTCCATTTTACACAAAAGTTAATATACTGTAGGAAACTTACTGCTTTCTCTTAACAACTTATCAATCTGCTATTGACCTTGAGTCAAACAATAATATAGCTGAGATAAAGGAAAAAATAAGTAAAATTTTTTTCTGCCAAGACCATTCAATGGCGAAAGGAGAGTCCTTTCACCTAATGATGCCGGAACAACTGCATATCCACATTAGAGCAATGCTAGACCCTTTCTTTATCCCACACCCAAAAACTAAACTCAAAATGGATCATGAACCCAAATACAGGAGCTAAAATTATATAACTCTAAATCTTCATGACCTCGGGTTGAACAAAGCCTTCTGGGATATGACACCAAAAGCAAAAGCAACCAAAGGAAAAAATACATCAACTGGATGTGATCAAAATTTAAAACTTGTATGCTTCAAAGGAAGACATCACTAAAAAGTGAAAACAACAACCCACAGAATGAGCAAAAATATTTGCAAATCTAATAAGGGAGTTGTATTCAGAATATATATAGAATTCTTACAACTAAATAAAAAGACAACTAGCCCGATTTAAAAATGAGCAAAGGACCTGAACAGACATGTCTCCAAGGAAGACATACAAATGGCCAATAGGCGTGTGAAAAGATGCTTCGGCCGGGTGCAGTGGCTCACACCTGTAATCCCAGAACTTTGGGAGGCTGAGGCAGGCAGACCACCTGAGGTCAGGAGTTAAAGACCAGCCTGGCCAACATGGTGAAACCCCATCTCTACTAAAAATACAAAAATTAGCTGGGAGTGATGGCAGGCACCTGTAATCCAGCTACTTGGGAGGCTGAGGCAGGAGAATCACTTGAACCTGGGAGGCGAAGACTGCAGTGAGCTGAGATCACGCCACTGCACTCCAGCCTGGGCAACAGTGTGAGACTCTCTCTCAAAAAAAAAAAAACAAAAACAAAAACAAAAAAAACTCAAAAGTAGAAGCAACCTAAATGTCCATTAACTGATGAATGGATAAAGCACAGCACATCCATACAGTGGAATATTATTCAGCCATAAAAAGGAATGAAGTGATTCCTTAAAAAATTAAACATAGAATTTCATATGATCCAACAATTTCAGTTCCAGGCATATACCCAAAAGAAATAAAAGCAGGAACTTGAACAGAGATGTGTACACCCATGTTCATAGCAGCATTATGCATAATAGCCCAAGAGTGGAAGCAACCCAAATATCAATTGATGGAATGAATGAATAAACAATATATAGTGTATACATACAATGGAACACTACCCAGCCTTAACAATGAAGGACACTCTGACATCTGCTACAATACAGAAGAACTGTGAAGATGTTTTGCTAAGTGAAATACGTCAATCATAAAAGGACAGATATTAAATGATTCCACTTACGTGTGAGGTACCTAGAATAAACTCATAAGGACAGAAAGTAGAATGGTGGTGCCAAGGTGGCAGAGGTGACAGAAATAGGGAGAATTTCAAGTTGGGGAAGATGAAAATGTTCTTGAGATGGATGGTAGTGATGGTTGCACAACAATATGAATGTATTAAATGTCACCAAGCTGTACTGAACAACAGTTAAAACGGTTTTGTTATGCATATTTTAGCACAATATTTTTTTCAACATCAAAAAAATACTTAAAATGGTGTATTTTATGTTATATTTAATTTCTATCAACCAGCGTTCCTATTTTCTTACCAAGGGGGGTCCTCCCAAGAAAATTGTACCCTTCTTGCGTACGATGATGTTTTCATCGGCCATGGCAGGCATATAAGCTCCTCCTGCGGTGCAGGAGCCCATGACTACTGCGATCTGGAATCCAAGCACACGATAAACACATGAGATGCAGCTCACGCAGTGACTTGTATAGTGTTTGATCCAGAATCCCACAAACACTGCAGTGACCAGGGGACATGACTGGTTGGTCCCTGAACATCATTTTTAAAATGAAGTCCTCTAAATGTTTGAAATAGTTTTCTGACTTCTTGTATCAAAACATTTTGAAGAGCTTATGTCTCATTTTTACAAAGCTTATGGACAATCTTCCTGTCAGAGAGTAGACTGGCCTGATAAACTACAGGCCTGAGAAACTAATGGAGAGAAGAAACCCACAATATACCCATAATTTTGCAAAACTGTATTAAAAGGACAACTTTTGTGACTAATCATAAGTCCTCTAAACATTTGCCACTTACCTCACAGGAACACTGAAATAACTCTTCAAATGGGTATTATTAATATTTTGTGTTACCCTGGATGTAATACTTTCTAAATATAAAACTAATGTTAAGATTGCACTTTAAAACCTTGCTCAGGCCGGGCGTAGTGGCTCACGCCTGTAATCCCAGCACTTTGGGAGGCCAAGGCGGGCGGATCACGGGGTCAAGAGATTGAGATCATGGTGAAACCCCATCTATACTAAAAAATACAAAAATTAGCTAGGCGTGGTGACGCGCACCTGTGGTCCCAGCTACTCGGGAGGCTGAGGCAGGAGAATTGCTTGAACCCGGGAGACGGAGGTTACAGTGAGCTGAAATCGCGCCACTGCACTCCAGCCTGGCACCTGGCAACAGAGTATAACTCTGTCTCAAAACAAACAAACAAACAAACAAAGCCTTGCTCAAAAGAAAGGTCGATTGTATTGAAGCTGGATGATGTGTAGATAGGGTTCACAGTACTACTTTCTCTAGTTTTGTGTGTTTAAAATTTTCCATAATAAAAAGCTTTAAAAAATCTTGCTCAGAAATTAGTATGGTACAAATAACAATAAATAGAAGTTTGGCTGATGACTCCTAAATAGGAATAAACAATATCACCAAAGAAAAATAAAGCATATAATGGATATTTTTTAATTATCATATGAAAGCAATTTTTGCTACCAATTCCAATATTCCATCAGTTTTCCTTACAGGCATGTACATATCTGTTTGGAAAAACAGCATGCCATACTAGTATTAACGAAAAGATGAAAGGTAACATGAGTTAACATTTTTCCAACCAAATGGCGAACACAAAAAGCATTCTTCCTCATCTAAAGTGTTCATGTATGTTATTAAAAGTGGCTTCAACATTTATTTGTCAACATATTACAGAAGTGTTTATCACTTGATGTTTTGCTTATCAATCACTTATGGTTTTTCTTATCAATTACCCAGAAGTTTGTGTTACAGATATCTATGGCTACATAAACCTGCCTATGAGCACAGGGAAACACTCACGTAGCAGTGTCACAATAGCCAAAATATGTAAATAACCAACATGTCCATCAACACATTTTGAATGGATAAACTTATTAAATGAGTTTGTTCTTTTCAAATCTGTGGCAAAAATGACAAAATGTAATGTTAACACTTAACATATCCAGGTAGTGAGCACACAAGTATTCAGTTCTATTATTCTGTATACTTTCTGCATGTTTGAAGTATTTTATGGGCTTTCTCTTTCAAGTTTCTGTGGGAAGCAAAGGACGCAATTTTACCTTAGCATCCTGTTCTCTGTACCAGAACACTGAGTTCAGCTCAAACTATTTCAGTACCCAAATAGAAAAACAGTCAAGAAACTTAACAGAAGAGTCACAGCGATGTCAAATCTAAAAGGGAAGAGTTTTCAAAAATAATACCTAAAAAACTAAACAGGCACGGCAGAGTCCCATGAAGACAACCAGAGAGCAAAAGGAAGGGAAAGAAAGCAACTGTCAGCAAGAATTCAAAGACAAAGATGAGGGAGGGAAGTGGGGGAGGAAACAGAAGAAGAGGAATTATTGTGTTGAAACGGTAAGACAGGCTGGCTGCGGTGACTCGTGCCTATAATCCTAGCACTTTGGGAGGCCGAGGTGGGAGGATCACTTGAGGCCAGAACTTCAAGACCAGCCTGGCCAACACAGCGAAACCCAGTATCTACTAAAAATATAAAAATTAGCCGGGCGCGGTGACACATGCCTGTGAACCCAGCTACTCAGGAGGCTGAGGTAGTAGAATCACTTAACCTGGGAGGCAGAGGTTGGAGTGAGCTGAGATCGTGTCACTCTACTTCAGCCTGGGCCAACAAGGCAAGACTCCATCAAAAAAAGGGAAGAGAAGGGAGGAGAAGGGAAGAGAAAGGAAAGGAGGGAGGGAGGGAGGGATAGGGGAGGGAGAGAGGGGGAAAAGGGGATGGGGAGGGGAAGAGGGAGAGGAGGGAGAGCGGAGCGGGGGGAGGAGGGGCAAGGAGGAAGAGTAGGGAGGGAGGGAGGCAGGCAAAGTAAGAAAAATGAAACCTGAGCTGGGCATGGTGGTGCACACTTGTAGTCCCAGCTACTAGAGAGGCTGAGGCAGGAGAACTGCTTGAACCCAGGAGGCGGAGATTGCAGTGGACTGAGATTGCGCCATTGCACTCCAGCCTGGGCAACAGTACAAGACACCATCTCAAAAAAAAAAAAAAAAAGGAAAGAAAAATGAAACCTGTTTTCCTTGAATTTTAGAAAAAAAGAAAATCCAAAGCATTGCTTGGTCTTTTAGGCATTTTATATCAGCTGAACCTTAAACTGAAATATGAAGACAAGCTTTATAAATTAGTTTATATGAAGTATACAAATTACATTTGCTTTTTGTGAAGAAGTGAATGAGTTGAATTTGTATTTCACTACTTACTAGATTATACTAATGAGCTAAAGGGGTCATTGCCATCCTCCCTACTCATGAATTTTATGAGTTACTGCTATACTATCACTCCTTGATTTAATTTGATATGGAATCAGAATTGGAAGAAGGTATTTTTAAGTAAACAACTTTTTTTTTCTTCTTTTTTTTTTTTTTTTTTTTTAAAAAAAAGATGGGATTTCACCATGATGGCCAGGCTGGTCTTGAACTCCTGACCTCAGGTGATCCACCCACCTCGGCCTCCCAAACTGCTAGGATTACAGGCGTGAGCCACAGTGCCCGGCCAATAAACAACTTTTTAACAGGAAAAAAAAAGAAAAATGAAACCAAATGCACCATCATACCATCTACTATGGACTGAATGTGGGTGTCTCCTCTGAACTCATCTGTTGAAGCCCTGCTCCCCAGCGTGATGGTATGCGAGGTGGAGGCCTTTGGAGAGTAATTTGGTGAGATGAGGTCACAAGGTAGGGCCCTCTGATGGGATTAGTGCCCTCATAACATGAGGAAGAGACAGGAGACCTTTTTGGCCCCCATGTGAGAACATAGGAACAGGGCCCTGACCAAGAATCAGGCCATGATCATATCCTTATTTCTGGAGACTTTCAGGCTCTAGAATTGTGAGAAAAAAATGTTTCTTGTTTAAGACAGTCAGTCGTCTATGATAATTTGGTGTAACAGCTGGAAATGCCTAAGATACCATTTGAGTAGGGGAAGAAGGATGGAAACGAGATCTAGAAAAGTCTCACAAGGGAATAGCTGACTAATTATTAGCATATCTACTTCAATTTTACCATATGGCTAAGGGCACTTCTGACACATTTCTCCACAGTTCCTCAACAACCAAGGAAATCAGCAATCCACCTCTCTGACACTAGCTACACAAGCTCAGAAAAGGACAGGAGATTCTGGTAAGCAGGCTTTTAAAATGGTCCCCCAAAACCCCTGACTTGGGTATTCACATTCTGTGCAGTCCCTTCCTCTTGAGTATGTGGTGGGTCTAGTGACTTGCTTGTAATAAACAGAATACGGCAAGTGATGGGTTGTCACCTCTGTGGTCAGGCCATGGGAAACTGTTGACCATCCTGCTGGCCCTCTGCCAGCTCTTGCTAGCCCTCTTTCTTGTCTTGTCTCTGTCTTGCTTTGATGAAGCCACGTGACATGCTGTGAGATGCTCTAGGGAGAGGCTGTATGGCAAGCAACTGAGGAAGGCCTCTGGCCAGTAAGAAACTGAGGCGTGCAAAGAGCTGGACCCTGCCAACAGCCATGGGAGTGAGCCAGGAGGTGGGTCCTTCCTAGTCAAGCCCCGAGATAACTGCAGCCACGTGAGAGACCCAAAGCTATGCTGAGCCCATACTCCCAACCCACAGAAACTTCGAGATAATCAATATATCTTGTTTACACCACCCAAGTTTTGGGACAATTTGTTTTGCTGCAGTAGAACAATTAATACAGCGATCAAAAAACATCTATCTTAAGTTATTACAATTGAAGTACATCTGAAGACTTGAGATGACTTTGTTTGGAAGCACTTTTTTATTGATGTTCTTCAAGAATCTATCTGTGAACTGTTCAACTATTCCAGAGACAGCAGACCACATATAGAACTTTTTTTTTCATGAACAGTTTATGAAACATACTGCAGGAATATGTACAACTTTCTGTGCCATCCCCGAGAGTGAAGGAAAACCAGGAGCAAGACATGGATTAACCTGGAAACCATTGTGTTAAGTGAAAGAAACCAGTCACAAAAGACCACTTATATAAGATTCCCTTTACATGAAATGTTCAGAACAAGCAAATCTATAGACAGAAAGTAGCTTAGTGGCCTCGGGCTGGGGGGACTGGAGAGAAATGGGGAGTGACTGCTAATGGGGGGATAAAAATATTCCAATATTGATTCATTCAACTCCGTGAACATCCTAAAAGCCTTTGAACTGTACGTATCACATGGGTAAGTTGTATGATATTTGAATTATATCTCAACAAAGCTGTTGTAAAAAAATTTTTTTAATAAAAGTCAAAAAAATAAGTAAAGTACCAAAGAGTCAAAATTCTCAAACAAGTATCTAACAGGCAAAATCTTTTTCTTATTTTTAATTTTTGGGATACACAGTAGGTCTATATATTTACGGAATATGTGAGGTTTTTTTTTTTTTTTTTTTTTTTTTTTTTTTTTGAGTAGAGATGGGGTTTTGCCATGTTGCATTCATTTATGGTACAACAAAGACGTTACATGAGGCCACACTGGACAAAGCTCACTGGACGAGTGATCTGAAACCCTAGAAAGAAAATTCTGTGGCATTCTCCACTAAGAGAACACTGAAGGGATATAAGACGTGTGACCGGAAACTTGGACCAGGCTGGTCCTGAACTCCTCTGCTCAAGCAATCCTCCCACCTTGGCCTCCCAAAGTGCTGGGATTCCAGGCTTGAGGCACCACACCCAGTCAGAGATGCCTTGATACAGGCTTCCAATGTGAAATAAGTACATCATGAAGAATGGACATCTATCCCCTCAAGCATTTATTCATTGAGTTGCAAACAATCCAATTATGCACTTTAAGTTACTTTAAATGTGCAGTTATCATTGACTACAGTCATCCAGTTGTGCTGTCAGATAGTAGGTCTTATTCATTCATTCTTTTTTGGACCCGTTAACCATCCTCACATTCCCCCAACCCTCTACTCCCATTCTCAGCCTCTGGTAACCAACAGGCAAAATCTTAATATTGCTAAAGGCAAATTCTGATCACAGAAATAAAAATCAAATTTAAAAACAGGCTGGGTGCCATTGCTCATGCCTGTAATCCCAGCACTTTGGGAGGCCGAGGTAGGCGGATCACGAGATCAGGAGATCAAGACCATCCTGGCTAACATGGTGAAGCCCCATCTCTACTAAAAATTCAAAAAATTAGCCAGCCGTGGTGGCACATACCTGTAGTCCCAGCTACTCGGGAGGCTGAGGCAGGAGGATCACTTGAACCCGGGAGGCGAGGTTGCAGTGAGCCAAGATCCTGCCACTGCACTCCAGCCTGGGCAACAGAGCAAGACTCCATCTCAAAAAAAAAAAAAAAAAAAAAAACACAGAGATAAGAGAGGTCACTAGTTAATGATCAGTCGTTGTCATGCAATGTCATATAATCTCCTCTCTTTTTGTTTTGAGTCAGGGTCTCACTCTGTCGCCCAGGCTGGAGTGCAGTGGTGCAATCACAGCTCACTGCAGCCTTGACTTCCCAGCCTCGAGCAATCCTTCTACCTCAGCCTCCTGAGTAGCTGGGACTACAGGTGCACCACCATGCCCAACTAACAATCCTTGCCATTTAGTTCTGGGTCACTCACTCACTCATAAAAGGTGACAAAGTGAATGAAACAAGAGTTCTGCCACTGTGTTTGCTTTTTTTTTTTTCTTTTTTTGAGATGAAGCCTCCCAATATTGCCCAGGTAGCACTCCTGGGCTCAAGCAATCCTCCTGTCTCAGTATCCTAAGAAGCTGGGAGTACAGGCATTAGGCCACTGTGTTCAGCTGTATCTGCTTCTTCCTCTCACAAAGCACAGGGGTCTCAGAGCCAAACAGCATTAACAAGTTGCCATGTTCCAAAGCATTCATTGGGGGTACCACAAAGACATTACATGAGGCCACACTGGACAAAGCTCATTGGACAAGTGATCTAAAACCCTAGAAGGAAAATTCTGCTGCATTCGCCACTACGAGGACACTGAAAGGACATAAGATGCATGACCGGAAACTTTTCTGACCAGACTCAGAAGTAGAGATTTGGCTTGTGATGTGGTACAACACAGGAACTGCGCTGGGCAGACATCACAGGGACCTGCATCTGCATTGGGACAGAGGTGAGCTCCAAAGAACTCCACCGAGAGGCTACAGGCCACACAGTCACCAGTGAGGTGGGCCTGCTCTGTGACAGGAACAAAGAGATCACTCTTGCAAGGTGTTGTGAGTCTAAGACTTGAACCCAGAGTAAGAAAGTACAAGAAGGATGAGAATGAGACACACCTGACAGTAATAATACTTGTCATCCCCTCCACAGAAGGCACAGGCAACACTTCTGAGCAAAGGAAATGAGATACTACAAAACAGAGGTAATCATCTGGAAGAGCTTTAGATAGAATTTCATTACCCTCCAGGTCTTGCCTGAACAAATAGAGAGACTGGGTCTCATTGCACCAAAAGCAAATGACATATTGTAGGTCAGCAACCTGCCCCATGTAAAGGGTCTCTGACAGGGAGCTAAGAGCCTTTTTATCTAAATCTGAAAAGCTAGGTGAACTCTAGACCTCTATTCCTCCCTGCAAAACTGTACAATACTATCCAATCCATAGAAAAACTGTGATAAACATAATATAACTTGGAGAAAGAAAAAAGTTCCAACTGCTTGATGGAAAAGCCATTAAAAATATAAACTTTTTTTAAATCTGTCACCTTATTTTTTTTTTCAATTCAAAGTGGAAAACAGATACTACTGTCCACATCACATTTTTCCTGCCCCTACCAGAAGAGCCACCATTAAAATATAAAAACCACAAAATATACATCTGAATTCAATAGCTGTCAAGAATTTAAGAATACTGTCAACCACACTGACTGATCAATACCACTGATTCTATAGTAGTCATACTTATCTATGCCAACTGGATAGGCTGAAATGCACACGGAATACAAAAAGTCTGTCTTACACAGGATGTTCTGTTCCTCCTCAATCTTTTTGTGGGAGAGCCTCAAAGTAATCAAACAGTGATTTTGTTTCTTCTAGGCCCTATCCATCTCCATCACAGGTTGAAATGCATTTTTTTTTTTTTTTTTTTTGAGACAGAGTCTCTCTGTCGCCCAGGCTGGAGTACAGTGGTGCAAACTCAGCTCACTGAGACCTCTGCTTCCCAGGTTCAAGCGATTCTCCTTCCTCAGCCTCTCAAGTAGCTGGGACTACAGGAGCATGCCACCACGCCCAGCTAATTTTGTGTATTTTTAGTAGAGATGGAGTTTCACCATGTTAGCCAGGATGGTCTCGATCGTCTGACCTCATGATCTGCCTGCCTTGGCCTCCCAAAGGGCTGGGATTATAGGCATGAGCCACTGCGCCCCGCCTGAAATGCATTTTTAAAACAAGCCAAGTAGAGTAGCACATGCCTATAATCCCAGCAACTAGGGAGGCCAAGGAAGGAGGATTGCTTGAACTCAGGAGTTGGAGACC